TTCTATGCTAGCAGTTAGTAACTCAGGTTGTACAGTCAGACCAACTCAATTATTCATTTAACAAACATTTACTAGCATCTACTGTGCACCAGATTCTATTTGAGGTGCTGGAAAAAAATGAATGACAAGACAAATAAGATCTCCTTGCTTTTATGTTTACATTAAGGTCATGGAAATAAAAATAAGTTATTTAATTTACAATTTTAATTTCAAAACGTGACAGTCAAACAGAACATTCTAAGAGATTACTGGGGAGGAGAGGAGGGGTTCCTTTAGAGGTATTGGCCAGGCAAGGCTCCTCAGAGAGGTGACACATGCAAGGCCAGCCAGGGAAGAGCCAGGGCAGGGGAAGAGTGAAGGCACTAATGGGGACAGACACGTGACCTGTCCCAGGAATGGGAAGAAGGTGGGTCGGGCTGGACGATGTTGAAGGAGAGGACTGGGTGGAGGAAATCAAGCAGAGCTCTGAGGGCACCAGGATGCACTTGCTTTTTATTCTAAGCCAATGCTGTTCTAAGTATGAGAGTGGCAAGATCTGCTTTAAAATATGATTCTGGTTAATGCACTGCTTGACACTTGTTAATTGTGGGTGCTTGGACAAGCTACATGGCCTTTCTCAGCTCCAGTTTCCTCATCTGTAGAGAGATAATAACATGTTCTCTTACATGAAATGCTTAGAAGGATTAACTGAAACAATGCGTGAAAAGTACTTTACACACTGCCTAGCACATAGTAATTGCTCAGTAAATGTTTTCAACTACATCCCTACAAACAACATTAAGACACTATCCAACAGAATTGACCATAACTCACTACTCCCAATTATGTAACAGAATAACTAAAAGTATCTTTTCAAATTAGCACTTATTCCAAATTTTGTGACATCCAGAGGCTGGATATTTCCTTACTTAATCAACACCAGGCGGTTTCCTCTTCCTTGACCCTATAATGCAACCCTGGAATGCCCGTGTGGATGGGCACACCCCCTGCTCACTCACGCAGTAGATTATTCACCTTTGCATAATCCCTAAGGCTCACAGCTCACAGCCTATCTTAAGGAGATAACCAAGTAGGTAGGTAGGTGAATGAATGAACAGACATTTGGAAGATAAAAATCATGAGGCTAAGAAAAAGAAAGGGAGTATGTTAAATTGAGCTATTGATCAGAAGTTTTTAAATGATGAGAACATAGATTGTATAACTGATAGTTTCTTGCATGCTTACTCTGTTCATGCAGTTCTGTACTGCCAGGCACCATGCTGAAATCATAACAAGACACAGTTCGGTCATAAGTAATTACTGCCTGCCAGTCTTGCCTCATCGCTGCTGAAAATCTTTAGCAACACTCAGAGAAACACGAAAGCACGACTTCTCATATTTACCAAGGTACTAAAGCACTATGAGTAACGGAGCCAAAATTGTGAAACCTGCTGTACTTGACATTTGCTTTTTTCTTTTTGCTTAACTTTGGCTTGTCTCACGCACCCAGATCTACATGTGAGTGTGACACATGCTATCAGGAAAGCAGCTATGTAAAATTCCTGTTTCTAGCTTTGAAACAAAGATCTGCAAAAGGTGTGGGAACATGTGCTCAGTGGTCTTCCATCTAAATATGCAAACTGTTACTACAAATAGACATTCTTTTTTTTTTTTTTTTGACAGGCAGAGTGGACAGTGAGAGAGAGAGAGACAGAGAGAAAGGTCTTCCTTTGCCGTTGGTTCACCCTCCAATGGCCGCCGCGGCTGGCACACTGCAGCCAGCGCACCATGCTGATCTGAAGCCAGGAGCCAGGTGCGGGTTCAGGACCCAAGCACTTGGGCCATCCTCCACTGCACTCCCGGGGCCACAGCAGAGAGCTGGACTGGAAGGGGGGCAACCAGGACAGAATCCAGCACCCGGACCGGGACTAGAACCTGGGGTGCCAGCGCCACAGGCGGAGGATTAGCCTATTGAGCAGCGGCGCCGGCCCCAAATGGACATTCTAAGATGTGATGATTGTTTACAGCCCTTGTCTCTACTGTTGAGGAACAGTGTTTTTTTCTTCATACTATTTGTTGAACTCTTAGTGTAGGGTAAACCTTTTGAGTATAAAGTAAACTGAAAATTGATCTTTGTAAAAATTAAGAGTGGGAATAGGAGAGGGAGGAGGAAGAAGGGCTGGAGCATGGGCCGGGGGGTGGGGGGCGGCTAGGGTGAGAAGTATCTCTGTATTCCCAAATGTGTATGTATGAAATACATGAAACTTGTATATCTTAAATAAAATTTTAAAAACATGTGTAATTGGTGCCAGCACTGTGGTGTAGCAGGGAAAGCCGCCGCCTGCAGTGCCGGCATCCCATATGGGTGCTAGTTCGAGTCCTGACTGCTCCACTTGCGATCCAGCTCTCTGCTATGGCCTGGGAAAGCAGTAGAAGATGGCCCAAGTCCTTGGCCCTTGCAACTGCGTGGGAGACCTGGAAGAAACTCCTAGCTTTGGACTGGTACAGCTCCAGCCGTTGTGACCACCTGGGGAGTGAACCAGTGGATGGAAGACATCTCTCTCTTTCTCTCTCTCCCTCTCTCTCTCTATCTCCTCCCCACCCCCGCCTCTCTGCCTCTCTGTAACTCTGCCTTTCAAATAAATAAATAAATCTTTTTTTAAAAAAAAAAGTGTACTGGAAGAAAAGCAATTCCATGTTCAAATATGGAGGACCAAAGAAATTTGTGAAGTTATAGTTTACTTAAATAAAAAAGGGCAATAAAATAGAAGAAAATAATATCCTTTCTTGGAGATTTTCTGATATGCAAAGTACCTTTCTATGCATTCTCTTGCTCTGATCGTCACAGCTCTCCAATGAAATGTGGCAGATTTTATGTCTGCATTTTATAGACATAAAAATTGACACACTGATTTGATAATCTGCCCCAGGTTCCAAATCAGTAAGTGGCAAAACCAGAACACTCATCAAGCTTTCTCAGTGTATTGCCTGCAACCCCAAACTAATTCAACATACCACAGTATTGAAATTCATTAAAACCAAAAGTATTTCTATTTTGAAAGAGGTAGAGAAGCCAGCTTCATTTTGGAATAAGTCGCAAGGAACTTTATTAAAATTCCTCCTGGAGTATTATAAATCATTCCAACTAGGGCAACATTCCCTTTATATGAGCATAATTCTTCCATGATCATTAAAATACTACATATTCCCTAGCTCCAGATGAGGATGAGGATGATATTTATACACATCCCAAACACTGTCCTATATACTCACATTCATCAACTTCGATTCTTATTTCAATACCCTTATAATTTATGTATTACTGTCATCGCCATCATCATCATCATTGTCATTACACAGGGAACAATTGAGACATCAAGAAGTTCAGCAATTTGCCCTTGACCATTTAGCTCGTCAGTAGACTGGCTCCAGTGACTTCACTGCAACATTACTCGGCCTGTCAAAGAGAAACCTTTCTCCTCCAACCCCTTGCAGTCTCCCTGCTATGACACTCAACAACTGCTAAAGGAAGAATCTTTAACTTAAAGATTCAAACTCGCTCCGTGCCTGTGGAAGCAGTACCAGTCTGTTCTACCAAACACTACGCTTCACCTTCAAAGTGCCGGAGGACCTATATGCAAGTGCTAAGCAGAGACCCTGGCACAACGTATGCATCTGCCAATTACTAACAGTCTTGCACATCTTCTACCGCTATGCTAAGAGCTCTTCTGTATATATGCACACCACAAGCATTAAAATTGTTCTTTTGGGGGGCCATAGGGGATGGCTTGGGTCCAAAGCCAGTTTTTTTATGGAAATTTAAGCTGGACAATTAAGAAAACAAATTTTACCAAAGCAAGAACTACAGAAAGCTGCTGTACATGTTGTGTTACTCTGGCCCTGATGACACCCATGTATACACAAGAAAGGAAGGAGCGAAAATATTGGGGAAATATCAACAAGAGAGAGATCCAAGGCCAGATTCACAAACTGCAGAGATATTTATTGTCCAGAAAAAGGAAAACTTTAAGCACAAAGAAATTATAATTTTTAAAATCAATAAGTTACAACAAGTTCTTTCCTTGATCTCCTTTAAATAGTATACTTCTTTGACCTTCTTAAGAGAAAATTAACTTACAAAAAAGAAAGCTAGTCACACAACTTTTCAAATATCCACACGTCATCCAAAACACTAGCCTAAAATTACACGCTAAAATTACATCTTGGAGATATTTGATTTCAAAATATTCACGCATTCATTCTTCCTCTTATGTATTCAACACGAATTTATTGGGCACAAGATACCTTACATAGTTTGTGTTACAGGAAATAGAAGAATGAAGGAAAGCTCGCCTCCCACTATGGATTTCATAGTCTAAGAAGCAAAACTGACCCCATGCAAAGTAGTGGTTCTTCAAAACATGTCAGTGACTTCTAATTTGCCACACTGTGTTCAAATAACAGGCACAGAAATGATTAAATGAAATACCATGACACTGGCTTTTCAAAGGCTGTACCTTTTTAAAGCACTAAGGAGACAGGTATTTCAAGTTCCTTTATCAGCATGACTGTATTTAAATAGCATCAGTGGACCTCAGAGAAAACTTAGAAACCCAGGCTGTCTGCTGAATCCAGTAAGTTACCTAAACAGATCCACAAGTTTGCCCTCCCCAGTGTTCTTCCAATTCCTGGCTGATTAGTGTATCACATCTAAACAAGAAAAATGTAGAACTCCTTGCAGTAACAGAGCGGGGAACACTGGGACTTAGTGAACACACCACTAAGGCAGGGATCTGGGTTTCACTATTCATTCCAAGCCAATACAAATGCTATTGATTTGGAGATAATCTGCTATTTTGTATTACTCATTCCTCCCTTCCCTTCTATTAGCGTGGAGAACCAAATAGTCTGAGCATTCGCTTGACTCCACTGAGAGGCCTGAATCACCACACGGAAGTATCAATCATTCCTTGAAGATTCATCTCTACTAAAAGCCTGCAGTGAAATGATAATGCACTAACCTGTCTCCAGTTAATGGCAAAATAATGGTTGCTTGAGAAGAAAACACAATGAAAGATAATCTCATTTCAGGGCTGCAAAATAAGAAAAGAGGCAGTTAAAACATTTTAAAAAGAAATATGGATACAATACAGATGCAAAGCTAGGAAGTCTCATTTAAAATTGGTCTCTCTGAATGGTCCAGGCTCCTCTCAAATGAAGTCCCTGAGTTGATGCACAAACTCTGCTTAACATTACTGCCTAAGTCACTCTGGATTTAGGCAATGCTTTCCAGCAATCACACTCCTCTGCAACTAAGGGACTTGCATTTAGAAATAAGACTAACTAGAAACATAAATTCTAAGTCAATGCACTATGCTCTGCTCTTTCCCTGGTAAGCTATCCCATCTCCTGGAAGGAGGCCAGGCTCCATCGTGAGCAGCAGCAGCTGCACTGGTACTTAGGGCTGGAGGGCAGCCCATCTGATGTAATGACCACAAGCACAACAACATGAGTTCCTACGAAAGTTATCGTTAGCTAAGCATACTTTAAACGGATGAGGGAAAATGTGAAAGGCACTAACAAGTCACTTTTTGCTAGGTATTTTCAGCATTCCATGTCTCAGACTTCACATTCCCAATCAGCAACCAACGCCCAGGAAGCTGTACTTTTCAGGCTTTAGACACGGGAGGGTTCTCGTTTCTGGGGCGCTCCATGCAGCTATTAATAAGATTCAAAACTGAAGTCGGGAAACTAAGTGATAAACTCAAGATCAGAGCTAACTCAAAGGCTTACGTCACTCTCTTCGGCAGCCGCCCCCTTCTTCTTTTCCTGAAATGTGTTGTTAGTAACTGAGCAATGAGTGAGCAAACTAGGTATTATAGAATTCCAACTTGATTAAAAACCTTGCTTCCTAAAGCTGTTGCAGTGAAATGACCCATTGTTTTTGGTTAAAATGGACATGACCCTGCACACTCCAGTATGAAATCAGAAAACCTGTAAGCAACTGTCTCTTCTGCCTTTGATGTTTAAAGATATAAGGTCTTGTTTATTTCGCTTTCCTGGACAGTTTTATCTCAGGCCCTGTCCAGAAATGAGTGTTACACTTGGCTTCTTAAGCAGGGGGCCTGATGATTGAACATGGACAGGCATACATTTTTATGGGGATAACTTTACTGCTGCCAATAACTGAAAGCAAGGATTGCCTAGGCCTCTACAGATTGTTTGAAGTTACTTGCAACATGACTTTCAAAATGTTTTGATCATCCAAGCCTGTTTTACAGAAAACATTTGGGCTAGCAAGACTGAAAGAAGCAATATTTAATGATACACTTCCTATTCATGTCCTTCCCATTATCTTGATAAACTTACACTGACTCGATGCATTTTTTTTTTTTCTTTTTAAAAAAGGGAGTCAACTAAAAGCCTCAGAAGCGTGGTATCTTGGGGTTATTTTTAAGTAGAAAACGCCACTAATTCCTGGTTGCCACTAAATAAGAGAGTAAGCTGGATTTCATAGCAGCAATGTTTTTTATAGGAGAGAAATCCATTCTTTGGTAGTGACACTTATTGCATATATAGAACAGTTACATTTTAAACCAGCCACACACCCACACATTGTGTAAACACAACTCCTTTCTTTAAACACAGGCACAAGTGCCTTTCTGGTAGTGGGCCATTAGCACATGCTCATTTGAAGTTTCCCAACACTGTTTTCTCAGATGAGGACCTCCACAACACCAAGAATTGCATGGAATGGAAAATGGATCAGGGGTACTATTAGCGCGACGTTTATTTTTTTTAATGTGATAAATTATGAGAAGGCATAACTGAAATTTGAAACAGATGAAAATTCAGAAAGGAAAAGCCATTTGTAATAGCATTTGAAGATGCTTCCGCACAGTCTGAGCCAAGTTTCTGGGATGCAGATGAAACAAACCCGCAAGGACTTAGGGGCCGTCCTAATGCCAGCATGGATGCGATGACAACCTTGAGGCACTTAAAAATCACCATTTCAGGAAAGGGTTTTCCTGCCAAAGGTTTCAGAAAAGGGAAACCCTACACTTCGTTCCACTTCCTCCCCGCAGCCTAGAAAACTAAAAAGTGGGTAAAATACCTTACAAATCTTTCTGTAAGTTTCTGCACGAAATCGTAAATTTCAATCCAGTTGTTTGCCACACTCCCAGACCTGAAAAACAAAACTGAACTGATCAGAAAAAAACAAACAAGGGGCTGCAAAGACAGCAGACATTTCAAACCAGTTCCTCCTTCTCGATCCCAAAGCTGGGGGGCCCTGGGCTCTTCAAGGGAAGTCAGCCCGCCCGGGCTCTTCAAAATAAACACAAAAACCTCCTCTCTCCGCAGGAAATGCAAACCGCGCTGGATTCGGTAGCCCAGGGCTTTTCCTGGCTTTGCTGAAGGCGCTGACATCAGGGGGAAAAGCAGGCAAACTTTAGCCAGCGTGAGAGAGGACGGAGGGGCCGAGAAAGAGCCCGTCTGGATCCCTCCAAGGAAGACCAAGTAGCCGGGCCCTTTATTGCCCCCCAGCCCACCCAGATCCGAGAACGGACGCCCTTGGGAAGGGGAGAGCAACAGGGCATCCAGCACCCCTGCGCGGGCGCGCGCGCACCCCGCAGCCTCCCCAGCCCAGCTGATCCCGCGCCGCCCGCTCCCGCAGCCCCCGGCCCCGCTCCGGCACTCACTTGTCCAAGACGAAGTAGAGATCAAAGGCTGTTCTGCAGGAGGGCTGCTCCTGGGCGTGCAGCAGCGCCCCGGGCCCACCTAGCGCCAGCAGCCACAGCCCGGGCAGCAGCCAGCTCCCGGGACTGCGGGCCGGGGACCGCCCCGCCACCATCCTGCGGCCGGGGGCCTGCGACTGCCTCCCGCTCACAGTCCCCTGGGCTCGGCTTAGCCGGCACGCGAGGGTGGCGGGAGCCGGCGGGGTCGCAGAACCCAGAGACCCAGCCGCGCAGCTAGGGCGGGCGAGCGCGGGGGAGGGAGGTCCAAGAGGACAAAGGGAGGCTCCACGCGCGCCGCAGCTGTCGCCCCAACTCCAGACAGATCGCAGCGGGCGCGCGAGCGGACCACCAAGGCCCACGGCCAAGGGCGCACGCGAACTGTCCCCCGCACCGAGGTTCCCACAGGCCGAAGTCCCCCGGCTGAGCGCGGCCCTGGACACGGCGACGCCTCCTCCAGGGATCCCTGCCCCGCCGCCCGAGTCCGCTCCGCTCGCAGAAACTTTGTTGTGCGCCGGACCCCGGAGCGGAGCAGCTCGGCGCGGCGGGGCGGGGCGGTCCCGCCGAGGGCAGGAGGCGGAGCGGGCCCGGGGCGTGCGGCCCGAGCGCCGGGGCGAGGCTGGGACGGTCCGCTGGCGCCGGGGGCGGGCGAGCGGCGCACGCAACGGTTCGAGACCGCGAACGCCAGCCGGAAAGGGGGAGAGGGAGTGGAGGCAAACAAGCGTCCGCGGGAAACGACACCCACCCGCCGAGGCTGCAGGCCCGGCCTCCGCCGGCAGTGGCGCCCCGCGAACTCCGCTTGCTGGAGCCTGGCGATTCCCGGGCGCCGGTGCTGCCACGGACGCACCCGCTGACTTCAAGAAGCGCACTTCTTTTTTTTCTTTCTTCCTTCCTTTTAAAGAAACCTACTAAGGGGCTCCACGTCTCCTGGCCGAGAAAAAGTGGGAGGAGAGAGCGAGAGGCGGAGGGCGGACTTCAGAGGGGCTTGCTGAGCCTCGGAGTACTCCGTCCCGCTGTCCCTCAGCCCAGGGCCGGGTCAGCAAGAATCCCACCTCGGGACGAGTGGGCTGCGCTCGCCACACCTGCGCAGGAGCTGGGGCGCACCATCCCAACCCTCTTCCGCCCCACTACCCCACTACCCCACCTGTGACTGCCAGCCTCCCTTTACCAAAAATGACTTTTAGAATTAAGCCCACTGCTGTAGCAACTGCCGCCGGGTCGTAGGAGGGGCCACGCCCTCCTTTTCATTTTAACAAAATCAATGCTTTACCATAAAAAGCACCTAGAGCGCTCGTATATTGCCTTTTAGCTTCCTTCTGGTCGTACTGGTCAGATCTGTCAGCTTTTATCAAGACACTATTCACGTTAACAAGCTTTACTGAGAGCCTACGACGTGCTGGGCGCTGTTCCAGGAGTTACCATTAATGACTAGAACATAATGATAAAGCCCGGTTCCCTAGAGCTCGCAGTCTGTTGGTGAGGAAGTGAGGGTGGGCAAGCGATTTAAAATCCATAAACGAGAGAAATGTGTCTATATCGCAAGTTGGTTTGCAGAGACTTAAAAACATGGTGATGTGGGGCCCATTTTGGCTTGGTGGTTAAGATACAGGTTGGGACGCCTCCATCCTATATCAGAGTGCCTGGGTAAGGCCTGACAGCGCCAGGTTCCAGCAGCCTGCACATCCTGGGGCAACAGGTGATCGCTCAAGTCCTTGAGTCCCTGCCACTGTATTAGAGGCCTGAATTGGGATCCCAGCTCCTTTGGGGAACTTGGGGAATGAACCAGCCAATGGGAGTTGTCTCCCTCCTCTTCCTCTTCCTCTTTACCTTCCACTTTCCCTCCCCGCCCCTTCGTCTTCCCCTTCTCTGCCCTCTTCTGTCTTCCTTTCCCTATTCCTTCCCTCCTTCTCCTCCTTTTTCTCAAATAAATAAAACATGAAATGTAAAATATGGTGATACGAGAAAGAATGACTTACTAGATGGCCAACAAAAAGGACCCAATCACTTCATGAGCTAAGAGAGGAAACTGCATTTGCTTAGCATATTCAAGAAAGAGAAAGAAAAGTAGTATGGCTGCAACTCTAAGGTTACACCGATGAAGAAACACAGGCAGGAGCCAGATTGTGTGGGGCTTTATGAACTATTTTCTACTGAGAATGATAGGAGTCCAGGGGAAGGGTGGCGGATGAGTTGATATGATCATTTCAGAGATCATTCTAGTTGCTGTGAGACGATGAATTTGGAGGTAACAAGAGTGACAGCAGGAAGAGCAGTTAGAGATTATTTTGGTGTTAAAGCAAAACAAAATGGTATCCTGGGTGATCATCCCTCTAACAGCTAAACAAAGTTAATGAATGAAAACTTCAGTAAGTACCAACAGACCTCTAGTTTGAAAATCTGTGCATTAAAAAATCTCAAAGATTGAATGGAGAATGCCTTCGATCGCTTCTGACTCTTTAACAATTGGCCTCTTGCAGATAGAAATTCCACCACCACCATTCCGCCCAGATCCACCACTTCTTAAGAGGTGGGGAAGGTACAAATAGACCTTGGGGCTGGCTGGCTGGAAGCTGATTTTCATTTTTGTTGGAAATAAAAATAAATTTCCATTGTTTCAGAGAAATGATCACTAGCATAAAAGTCAAAGGGAGGGGTAGCTCTACTGTAAGCACCTTAATTCCATCTTCCTTGGCCTCAAATTTCCCTAGGGTTCTGCCATCCTGATTCCTCTGTGGCCTGAGCATGTTACTTCTCCTTTCACATTTGGGTCCAACTGCAAATACATTCATCTCTTTGATTTCCCTTAGCAGAACTGAAACAGGCTGACACTTTCAGAAAATTTGCATCAACAACTTATTCAAGTTTCTTTCCAAAGTGTGTATTATTTGCTCTGGCTGCCACTGGTTTACATTTTCAAAGTTAGTCTTCGACAGAACCAAAGACACTACACATTTTTAACAATCCCACCCAACAGTCTATTACTGGATAAAATCTGCATGGAAAGGTTGGATTCAAATTAGAAGAGAACAGAAATAAAGAAGTTTGAGACACTAACATTGGACTCTGTCCTCTTGATGAAGTGTTACAAACTCACATTTATTGGTTTCTTTTGTCCCTGGCTTCCTGACGTAGTGTCTGTTCCCCTTCTGGGACCCCACAAACTAGCCTAAGAGTTCTTGTCCTAGGCTCAAACTACAGCAAAATAACTTGAAGTTAAGACTTATCTTTACTAAAATTCCCTGTGCCTTCATAGAATTTTCAGTTCTTCTTTCGATCAGTCTTTCAATAAGGCCAACTGAGGTGACAGGCATATGAAAGCATATTAGCACTGTTTTGTTTGTTTTCTTGCTTATTTGGGGATAATGAATTCAGCCCACTTTTGGAGCTTTTTTACATATAATTCACTTGTTCATACAACATCAACAGCCAAGGAAGAAATAATCTCACCTAGCACAGAATGATAATTAACCGAATCACTTTCATCTAGTGAAAATGCATGGGAAGGTCATTAATTACTGGGGCAATCAACTGTCCCAAATTTTCCCAGCCTGCAGGATATCCAGGGTTGTAAGACTTTCAGTGCTAAAACTGCAACAGTGCCTGGACTGGTTCCTGGTTATGAAGACTGGTGTTTGCCAGTTTCCCAAGCCAGGAAGGTAGAAGCAAGAGCAGACTTTCAAATCTCTCCAAGCCATGTAGAAGGAGTGGTAGCAACAGCAACTACTTCCCTTCTGGATCAGTGAGAGAAATCTGCCCTTTATCTGCTGGATACTTGCCAGCTAAAGTTTCAAAGTGACTTTTGTACCATGATAATCATGCCTGGACTGTTTAGCTTTAGATTTTAAGTCAACAGTGGGAGGAGAGCTTTTTTTTTTTTTTCCATCTTCTTAGAGGGCAAAACAATGGGGTAGGGGGGTGGAGAGAGAGACAGAGAGACACAGAGACACAGAGAGAGAGAGAGAGAAAGAGAGAGAGAGAGAGAGATCTTCCACCTGATGGTTCACTTCCCCAAATGCCCACTACAGTGAGAATGGGCCAGGCTGAAGCCAGGAGCCCAGGACCCCATCCAGGTCTGCTTTGTGAGTGGCAGGTGCCCAAGCACTTAAGCCATCACCTGCTGCCTCCTAGGATGAATCAGAAGTGGAGCTGGAACTCAAACCAGGCACTCCTTTCCAGGTGTAAGCAGAGTGGTGGCTTAACCTGTTGCTCCACAACACCTGTCCTGGAAAGCTGACTTCAAGGAGAGAAGCTTTAGACTGCATTTGCTTCCAGATCTATGGTCTCAGTTTGAAACGTATTCTGTGTATCAAAGCAAACTTCTAAGTCAAGGTTACAATGGTCAACATTACACAACAAGGCCAATGAACCCCAAAATATTTTAAATTCAGTTTAATGCAGTTAGACCAGCTTGAGGTTGACACCTGATGATTTAAGGCCAGCACTTGACTCTCTATCACTGGCTATTTTTTCTACCTGAAGAGCCACTGTGAGATTCACATAAAATTTTATTTATCAGTTTTTATTTAACTAGTATTTCTTGATACCTACTGTGTATCTAGCAGTGTTCTAAGCACAAACATTAGACTCCTTGCTTTTCAAGCCATCTGCAATTCCATTCTCTTACTAACTAGTTTATTTCTATATTCCTTGCCCTAACAAACAAAAAGGTAATTAACAGTAAGCATAGGAAAATAACGTATAAAAATTATCCACTGCTCTATAGGATTTGCTAGTAGACCTCTATGTAGAGCATCCACAATGACTCTGGAAGTGATTCATATTCACATCACATAGGAAGTGATTCATTATATGATATCTACCGTGATTCAGAGGAGGAAAATCAATCTTCACTATGTATAGGTGACAAAGCTGACTTCAACCTTTATCAGGTAGAGTCATTAAACAGCTAGATTTCTCCAATGTCTGAACTAGTTCCTGAGAGTGAATAAAATGTTTTGGGAAAGCGCAACTACTTCTAAATTAATATCTCCACGCGTGACAACCAAGGGTGTTAGCCAGTGTCAGAGAATGATTCCCAGGGTCTGACTCTGGAACCAGATGTGTTTTAAGTCTAGTTTCTCAAGACAGATTGGGAATCAGATTTGCTTGCAGGAGGTATACTGAGGTGCACATTCAACGTGAGAGAAGCAGGAATGGTCCAAGCAAAGTTGAACCATGACACAGTGGCAAAGGTGACCTCTGTAGCCCTGGGGTATCTCTGGAGCTGCAGGGGCCTTTCATACTTTTCCTGAACATAATGAGACAAAGAACCTAGGACTTCATGAAATTTCAGGCCAAAGTTTCTCCAACAAAATTGCATTCCATCTCCTATTGATTAAAATTGAAAGCTACAGAGAGTCCCAACATGACTGTCATGGTAAAAACATCATGACGTAGGTGTTTGGCAGTGCTTGGAATATCCACATCCCATTTCAGAGCTCCTGGGTTCAGTCCTGGCTCTGCTCTGGATTCCAGCTTCCTGCTTGTGTGCACCCTGGGAGGCAGCAGGTTCAAGTATTTGGGCCCCAGGCACCCACGTGGGGGATCCAGATTGAGTTCTAGTCTCCTGACTTCAGCCTGGCCCAGCCTCAACTGTTGTGAGTAT